CAATATGCTTTTGTGTCATTATAAAATGAGTATTTAAAATTCCCCTCCCTTTACAATGTTTTACATGGCATTTATAATATATTAATTTATCATTAATGTACAAATACTTATTAGAATATAAAAAGATTATTATATTTTGATTTTATTAATTTATAAATTGATTTTTTTTAAAAAAATAAATCTTGAAAATTGAATGGTGATTGATCTATTTAAAAAGAAAATAAATTTTGAATATCATTGCAATTAAATTGATATAATGAATATTATTTATATTGAATTTTACATGGAATTGATGCATAATTGTTTTCACTGACAACAGCTTCTTGGGTGAGAATAGGAATATCATTAAATGTATTAATCATATTATATTTACATGGAATGCATAATTGTTTTCACTGACAACAGCTTCTTGGGTTAGAATAGGAATATCATCTTGAATAGCTTTATAATTGATATAGTAAATGTATTAATCATATTATATTTACATGGAATTGATGCATAATTGTTTTCACTGACAACAGCTTCTTGGGTGAGAATAGGAATATCATCTTGAATAGCTTTATAATTGATATAGTAAATATATTGTATTTTACATGGTGAATAATTTGTAATATTTTGTAAATAAGATATAATTAATGTATTACTTTGACACCCAATACTTGCATATGAAATGGAAGCTTTAATAAAAAGGTAAATAATGTTAAAGGATGATATGAATTTTGTAAGGATAAATCAAAATGATCTGTAAATTTTTTCAAAGATAAATTAAAAGAATATTTGAGGTTTTACTTTGGCATCCTACAGAAAACTAATTTTTTTGAAGGCAGATTTTATCTATAATATATTAATATAAAATTTATCTATAATTAATATACTCGTGCATTCTTTGGACATAGTAAATAAATTGTTATTATATTATATAGTATATAAAGGTGCATATTCTAATATCAATCAAAAGGGTCATATCCTACCCATATTAGTTAAAAATGATTTGGGTCCGCTATCTCGAATATTAAAAAGTATCAAAAAGAAAAACAATTTAAAAACAAAGAGAATATCAACTGAAATCTGCCGTTCTAACTGCATAATCCATCCATACATGGGTCTATAACCCTCGTTGATCATATTACCTAATTAAATGTCTAATTATTATTTTATTTAATATAGTTTTTATATAAATTTCATTTTACAAATAGTGCACATGTTAATTTAAATATATTTTTAAAAAATAAAAGAAATGCAAATAAAACAAAGTAATTTAAAGGAGAATTATAAATTAAAAAATAAAAAACAATTACAACTACCTAACAAAAACCATTATATTTATTTTGGAAATTATTACATTTATTCTTTTCATTCCAAATCTACCGTTAATTAAAGATATATATTTTTTTAAGAAATCACTAAAAAATAAAAATTATAAAATATATAATTGATTTTGTGGTTAATTTTTTTTTATAATTAAAGAGAATATGCATTTTTTTGATTACTTGTAAATTTTTATAGGGTGTTTGTAATCATTTCGATATAATTTTTTTGATATTTTGGATATAAGTTTAAAGTGGGAAAATGAGAATTTGAAAAAAAAAGAAAAGAAATCACGCTTGAGAATTCACCAAATGGAGTTGAACTATTTGTCGTAACATAATATTTAATTTGATATGGGTTCTCTTTTTTAAGCGTCTAGAGAGGTGTCAAAAATTTGAAGGATTGATATGGCACAACTTTATCGAATCAGGGTAACTTTCAGAATTTTTGCATAATTTATATTGATAATAATGACATATAAAATATAACTAAAATTTTTGATAGAAATATTTATATGCAAAATTTTTTCGAATAAAATAAAACTATGCAAAAAGAACAATTTTAATTAGAAATTAAAATAAAAATTTTCAGAGAATGTTTTTACCTATATCATTCAATGACAGCTCTGAATAATAGATAAAACAAAATAGGTTTTCCAGCTTTATTATTGGCCTCGTGAAAAATATTTAATAGGGCAGTACATCCATAATTATTGAGGTAAAAATTCGACCTTAAAACATTTATTAAGCTCATAAAAATTTTTTACAATCACTAAATAATAGCAAAAATAGGATGTTTGTAGTTGCTCTAGATTTTGTTTTGGTGTACGGCCATTTTTTAAATTAATTTTGTTATTAATTTTTACATTTTAATTTCGGCTATTAACCTTCTTAAGCACTTGTTATCAACGGACCACTAAAAAATGATAAAAATTTCATCTTTAATGCATCCATAATTTGTCATATTAAGCGCTAAACGATGTATTCCTTTTATCTCATAATAAATAGTTTAAATCCTATAATATAAATAAATTAAAAATAATTATAATTTTTAAATTTCATTAATATTAAATCCGCAAGTTGGTGTATTATTACTTTAAGAAAAAAAAATTAAAAACTTTCTTTGTTTTAGTATTTTTTAAATTCATATTATATTATTATTTAAAAAGGTGTTTGACGTGTTTCACATGTTTGACTAAACTGCGAATGACAAGGTAAATTGCAAATGCTTAGGTGAAAATTTTTGACATATTCTATAGTAATTGGAGTGAGATTCATTTTCTTATGATATGAATAACTTATAAAAATTAAATTCTGCTGATTTAATATTAATGAAATTTAAAATATAATTATAATTTAATTATATTAAAGGATTTAAACTCTTTATTATGAGATAAAAGGAAATACAACTATTAATGTCTATTCATTTATTGAATATATCTAAGAATTTTATTTTTTTATAAATTATTTATAGAATAAGAAATTGAAACTCGCTCCATTTAAGAGAGAATATATCAAAAAATTTTATACCTAAGCATTTGCAGTTTACCTGGCATTTGTAGTTTAGTCAAACCGTTTACAATTTTTTTTACTTATATGACCTTCAAACAGTGTTGTTAAACGACTCATTTTGATCCGATTTTTAAAAACGGGTAACTCATTATTTCATCCAAAATAATATTACGCAAGCATGAAGATTTTGGTTTGGACATCTATTAGCGAAATCTCGAGGCTTAGGCAATATTTTTCTGGCTAAAATATTGAGATAGCCGTTTTTAATAATAGGCTCAAAATTAGCCGCTTAACAACACTACTCTAAACCCTAAACCCATTTTTGAAATTTTCCTGAACCAGTACTCCTCTCATTTTTCTACAAGGGTTCATATCCCCACTTTTTAATCTGCAAATATTGTATATGTTTTTTAAACTTTATATTACCAAATTATATTAACAAAGAATTAATTATTCTGGTATTAATAAATTAGAATCCATCTTCTCTTAATCTGCGTATATTGAATATATTTTTTACTTTTATCGAGGAAGGAAAATAGTTCAATTATTAACATCGAATTTCTAAATAGTTATCTTGTCGGGCCCGAGAAAATAATTTAATTGAAGTTTGTCTGTTTAGTGATTTTTCATATTTTTATATATATCATCATAAAAGAAAAGAGGGTAATATATTTTTTTTTATTTAATTAAAAATTTGTACTAGGGGAAGCGAACCGGACCTAACATGTATCAAAAAATTTGTGACACTTTCTTTGTAAGGAACGAATAGTATCAATTAAAAAGCCCGTTCAAAACGACCCAGGGTTACGATTTTAGCTAAAATAATATTATCGCAAGCATCGAGATTTGGATAGAAGGTCCAAACTAGCAAAATCTCTGGGTTTACATAGTATTCTTTTGGCTAAAATATTAATCGGGCCATTTTCTAAAATCGCCCCGAATCGGGCTTTTTAACAACACTAGAAAGAAAAGGGGCAGATTGGACCACGAACTCAATTATAAAAAATTTATTTTGTATCCGAATGGACCTAGAACAAATATTCCGAATTCGTTGAAATATCGTACCTCTTAACACTCCGAGAATTCTTTTTGATCAGAATCGATAAAATCATTCAGAACAATTTTATTCTCCCTGGCGCATTGCAATGATTTGTATTATATTATGATATTTTTTATTGTATTTGATATGGCTCATCATTGTCTAAATTAAAATATCCATTCTAAATTTTGCTTTTCGTCGAAAACTATCAACCCCGGCATATATAGCTCAGCCTTGAAGAAAGCGGGAAAAAATTTATTATTTTTTTCACGCACCTCAAGATGTAGCTAGTGTCAATATTTTATCCAGAGAAATATTAGCCCGAAGGTCTAAACATCTAATATCGAAATCTCGAAACTTATACAATATTTTTCTGGCTAAAATAATGAGTTAGCCAATACGAACCGTTTAACAACACTAGATGTAGCCAATTTTTTTAATAGTCATTACTTAACCATGATGTGATTTGAAATGTATAATAATCTGGGTTACATATATGCCTATATATAATTGTGGATAGTGACCATAGTACACAGTAAATGTGTGCATTCTATTGTGACAATTAACTTATATACTGATTGATTTAGAATATATATAATAAATCGTCGGCCTAGAATGGGAGTGCTCCACACTTTGCGAAAATGTTAAAAAGAGAAAATCAATATTAAAGTTTAAAATCAACTATAGGAAAAGCTTATTGATCAATTTTGACAGAGCTACAACTTTGGCAAAAATTCATATTTTCTAATCTAGTCTTTATTTATAGATATATTGGGAATAAATAAGTTATTATCCACTTCTAACTCAAAAATTTTGAAAATGTCGAGCGGAGCACTACAATTTTGGACCGACGAAATATTAGAACTTTTAACCCTATAAATAATTTATTTTGTAAATTATATAGTGATGAAAATGATAATTGGAGATTTTTATTTAATTTTTATAACATACATAAATAAATAGATTTGTCTATTTATAGTTTTATGTACAAATTTTTTTCATAGAGTACCTTGAAAGAATTTTACAACATTGTATATATAGTAACATGAATATTGCTCTTAGATAAAATGAATACATAATTCAAATTTTTTTAAAAAATATCTAATTTGTATTGTCTAAATTAAGTGGTTTTTTTTAAAAATAAAATAAAATAAATAATTTAAATAAATATGTTTTGTGGTGAAGAATTATAAGTAAATAAGTTGAATTTAACTTTATATAATAAAAAACATAAATTTTAAAGTTTTCTTAAGTTCGTGACAATTTTTACATATTTATTACCATTGCATAACATTTATTATTTATTAATTACTAATAATCTAAAAGAAGGAAAGGGAAAAAAAATTAAAAATATCTTTAAACAACGTTGTTAAGAATCGTATTTGGTGTGGTTACCCACGTTTTCTTCCCTATGCCTGCTACTGGGTGCATGTGGTTGAGGAGCGGGCGTATCTAATTTGATTTTTATTTCGTCGCACAGCTTATCTACTCGAGTCGATACCCCTTTGTATTCGTCCATGGTCATATCCATGACTTTACAGAGGCTTTGAACCTACCATTTTAAAAAATCATGATGGTTATAATTTTTGTTTTTAAAAAAATCTCAATAAATCAGCTGTTCGCAATCTTTGCCCCTTAGAATTATAGTTTTTAAAATGCAACTCAATTAATTTCTATAAAATGTGCCCTATGAATTACTAAACATAATTAATTTATATATATATATATATACCTCGGGTGTGATATCCATAAAGTTATTCAGAGCGACCAAACAGGCAAACACTTTCATAATTTATTTATTTTATTTTTTTAAAAAATTGGTTTATAAATATTAATCGATTTTTAAAAATAAAAATGATTCGGGCATTTGATTTTTTTTGATCATCTGGGATAGGAGCCAGGCCAGGTTAGACCCGTAAAATTTTAATTTAGGATCTAAACATCCTCCCGTAAAAGTGGTTTTGAGTAGAGTTAAAACCTTATAATATTTTTTTACATGATTTTTCATTCTTTTCGGTTTTGATTGCTTGCAATAACGCTATAGAAATTTCCATGGCCATTTCCTCCGGAACCTATCATGCATACATTTTTTTTTTCATAATCAATAAAATTTAATTTATCGTGTTTAATATATTTGATCGTCTGCTTTTTTTCAAAAAAAGAATTATGATGCTATTTGGAAAATAATAATTGCGAAAATTCTTTAGCCGCTTTATCTTCTCAATTAGCTTAGCTTAGAAATCATTTCCGTGCGCACATAATTTATATGTAACCCTACACTGTACCTAACATTAGCAACGATTTAAAAGAAAAAGAAGCAATCCTTATGTCGTTCTAAATATTCCATTATAAATAGGTCTTTTTTTTGTTACATTTTATTAATAATATTTATTTATAATGGGAAGGGAATTTTAATGCATCCCCTCCAGCCCCCCCCCCATCTCATTATTTTCATGTGAATGGTTATGTAGGCTTTCTTGCGAAATAAACATGTTTATTCTCCTTAAGATGCGGGTCGGAGACTAACGCGCTAAATGAATGAATGCTCGTGTAATTTCATTTGTTTTTTAGCTGGGGAAAGAGGAGCATTATTAAAAATGATCAATTTTTAAGTCATTTATATCATGGTGAATGTTGTTCATTTGCAATTACGATTATTTTAAAAAATATATATAATTTGATTACCTTATGATAGGCCAGGTGCCATATGAGATTACAAGCTAAATCGAAGACCAGCGTGTCTCCTCCGGTATTCGTGCTGGCATCGGCTCCGCCAAAATTTTGTTTGGAAATCAGGCATTCCGAAACGATTTTAGAAACGATAGTACCGTTATTGTAATTTACGGCTTTACTTTCGGGCCATTCGATCATGGAGGTCAGGTAGTAAAAACCCGTTTTCGTGTAGCAACAGTTGCTGAGCTTTTAAAGAGAAAGAAAAAAAAATGAAACAAAAAATTTAAAAAAAAGAAATAAATAAAACTTATAAAAGATTATTTTACAAAAATGATTTGGAATTTTTAGGTAAAATTTGATCATTCTGTTTTAGCATTTCTCAAGAAAAAACATTTTATAAAAATCCTTAATGTTTTGATATTATTTTATTTGCTGTATAGATTCTTTAGTGTTTGTAAATACGTAAAACTTTAAAATAATAATTGAATAAGTAATAGTTCAGAAAAAATTGTTGATTATATTATACCAGCATCAAAATTGAGATTTTCTCTTCCTTGGATAACTTATCGAATTGTTGAATGTAAGACATGAGCCCGTGGGTACATTCGTGTTTGATAACCAATATGAAATCGAAGGACAGAACTAACAATTGCAACATTTGAAGGGTAAGAAGTTTGTCTTGCTTATCGAAGGTACCCGTCGTATCGTGCAAAATCTTGCCTTTAAATTAATTTAAAGGGGCAATATGATTCATGAGCCAAATTATAATTTTCAGTGATTTTATTTTTTTTTTCTCGTTTCATTCTGACAAATTGTCCAACGCGAGTTTTGGATATCAATATTTAAAAGATTTATGTAATGTAAATATTTTTAAAGCTCTCTCTCTTGAATAGAATTCCCTGAAGAAATGGAACTGGGGACTTCAAAATTCAAGGCGGGTGCCATCTTGTTTTAAAAAAATATATGATCATCGGTCCGGTCCGCTGAAAAATAATCAGCGTCTCGTTAGGTTTTTCAGGCTGAACCAAGCTGCTTGATCTTTACTAACTTCTCGCAAAAATAGTTGGATATAAAAGAGTAAAAACAATAATGCGCACATGTTTTGTTAACGGGATTAGAATGCCCGTAAGATAAAGGAACTATTAGATGTGTGTATCGACACCTTATTAACGGATACCAGCTGATTACCTAACATTTTTAAAAATACGAATGATCGGTTCAAATAATAATATTTTTTTAAAAAAAGAAAAGAAAGAAATAGGTAAATAAATAATAGTTACACAAAAACTGCGCGTGGTTATCGTTAACGCACCACAGGGGGTCTTCCGTGATTACGTAAGTGTTGCATTCGTTCAGAAGCTGAAACTCGGCCGCGCTAATTTTATCCTTGAGTTTTTCCTTCAATTTTTCGTACAATACTGCAGCCTGTTATAAAAAAATAAATATAATATTTAGAAAAACACACATTAACTACGGCAATTGTGTTATTTTTTCCAACTATTTTTTGATCGCGTTTTTTTTAAATTTAAATTTTACTTGAAATGTAATCCATCATGTTTAGAATACCTATTCTTATAAATTTCATAAAATTTTGCCATTTGAACCTATGAATTTAATATAAATTATATAATTTCTGCTATAGATCTTTTTTTTTATAAAAATCATAAATGACTCAAAGGTTTATCGACCAAATTGTCAACAATTCCTAAGATAGGTATTCTAAACATGCTGGAATACATTACCGGTAAAATCAGATTTTTAAATTTTTTTAAAAAAACATGCTCTCGAGTCTTAATGCTTAAGACTTGTGGTAATCAAAGGATAAGTTTTTGTGGATTTTAATGTAATCGGTAATCGCTTTATCTTTAAGCCAGCTAAAAAACCGCTAAAACGGAGTTTTTAATAGAACCTCGGGGGATTTTTGTCGAAAATATAGTACCATTTTGGATGCAATGGATAACAAAGTCCTCTTAAGTGAGGAGCCTGTATATTAAAAAACTACGATACTTGCCATTTAGATTGAGCCAATAAATTTTTTAAAGCCTCTCTCTCTCTCTCTCTTGAATAGGATTCACCGAAGAAATGGAACTGGGGAACTTCGAAATCCAAGACGGGTGCCATCTTGTTTTAAATAAATATAAGATCATCGGTCCAGTCCGCCGAAAACTAATCCGGGTTTCGTCAGATATTTCGGGCTGACTAACTAAACGCCATTTTTAAACAAAGGATCGCCGTGAAATTCAAGAAACGATTTCTTACGAAATCTAAAACAAATCAAGCTTTATAAAAAAAAATTTTTTTTATAATTATTAAATATGAATTAATAAAAAGCGCGAATTTGTTAATCTGAGTTCAAAAAGAAATAATAATTTATTAAAAAAGTATAATTGGCAAAATTAAGTTTTCATCAAAAATCGCCATCTGATTTTTTTAAAAATAAATATAACAGCCCTGACCTTGACCACCAACAATCTTAAAAAAAAAAAATTTTAAATCCAATAAAAAAAATAATTTTAAAAAATCCAGAATGAAGTAATAAAATACGATATGACAAAGGACAGATTGGCCTTTTCATTTATTTTTTATTTTTTTAAAAAAAAACTTCCTATCTACGATAATTGCACCCAATAAGAAAAATATCGATTTATTTCAACAAAAAAAAAGGATTCGCCGCCACCTAAGGCCGTAGCTAAGAATTTCAGCTAGGGGGGGGGGCAGTTGTTTACTTGAAGGGCTAACTTTCAAAGAGTATGGAATAGGTTTCCAAGGAAATAGGGAGGGGAAAAATATGGGGGGGGGGGGGGTTATTGGGTTAGCAACGACCTGTTGCCTCTAAAATATTTTATCTCGATGGATAAGCTGTAACGGAATAATAAAATTATGTGTTTAAAATTTAATAAAACGGAAGTATTTAGTATGGTTAAAATAGCCGCGTTTTGACGACTCCCCGAACTCGAGTCGGAGTTGCGAAGGCTCAGACTTTAGCGGTTCAGTAAGTCGATTAGCGAATCAGTATTTTATATTCTTATATGCGTTCAAAATAAAAAAAAATTTAAATAGAAAAGAAGGAAGGAAGGAATTTGTAATAAAACGAAAAAATAGATAAAAAAAAAGAGTTAGTTCAGTAATCTGTCTGTGAGTCGGCTCAAGGCGGGATCGATTAAGAAAGAAAATAAAGATTAACCTCTATTCCAACAAATAAATCCGGCTTATTTTCGTCTTGGAAACTTTCTATGGAAGGAGGGTCCTCTAAAGTCTTGCGGGGTTTCTCCTTGAGCGAATTGGCGTTCGCGGTGGGACCGTTTTCGGTATTATTATTTGTTTGGCTCATGACGCAATAACCAAAATGTTGGGATGAATGAGGTGGCGGAGACGGTGAACACTCGATGTCTATATTTTCGAGGTAAGATTGTAGGATAGGACCGAACGGACTGCGCAAATAGTTTATATTTGTTTATTTTTTAGCAAATGTAAGATAAAATGGCGAAAAGGCGTGCCAAACAAAAACGCAGAAAGATTATTTCTTTGAATTTTGCGAATACAAGGAAGGGGGTCGTTTTTTTTTCTTCTTTAAAACCATATGAAGGGTGAATTAATAAAAATGCTAAATTGATAGTTATAAAAAATGCAATAAACCTAAAAGAAAATCAAAAAATAAAGAGTATCTATATATATAATCACCGTAATCAAGAAATGAACGTTTTCGTATATATGTTAATTTTTATTTTTCTTATCAACTTTCCTATCATCTTAATGTTAATTTTTATTTTTCCTATCATCTTAATGTTAAATAAATCGATGGAGACTATATCTCTCTAATGTTAAATGTTAAGAAAATTTTTTGTACATCACGGGATTCGAAATGACTTATCGTTTTAAAGTCAAACGTTCTTCCCACAGCCACCTTCTATATTAAATTTTGTAATATAATGTAATCTTTCTTATATATGTTATTATTTTGCTATTATTTTTTGGCTTATTAAGTTCTTATTTCATTGGTTTAAATTTATTTTCTTTGTTTTATTAATTAATTCATCAACCATTTTAAATTTACCGATTTTTAAGAAGATACAAAATAAATCAAATTATAAATTATCATTTTTCTCTAACAATTAATGTTTATAGATATTTCTTAATTTAACTATCATTATTCTTACACTGTCAAGTAAAATTATTATATAAATAAAATTTAATATTATTTTAAGTCAAATTCTAGATGCCGAAGCGAATAAACTAGCTAAATATTCGCCATATCTTCCCGCCAATTATATATTCCTACCATTAATCGCCACTACTCTAAAGTCGTTCGGCTCTCATGCCCTAGACTTCTTTAAAGAGCTAGGAAAACGGATCTCTGCTAGGACCGAGGATCCCAACGAGAGATTCTACCTACGCCAACGAATAGTCATAAACATAGTAAAATACAATTATCTCAGCTTTATTTTTTCAATATCCGAAACCACGTAATTGAACATCCTATGCATAGTAGAGACTTTGGCCATTTTGTTGCCTATTATAATGTTAGATCTAAAAGGTAACTTGAATCTCAATCAATAAAAAAAATAGCAAGAATTAATGACTTTATATAATTGTGATTTACTAATATTATATTTTTTTACTATAATTATAACTTACCTTGATATAAATTGTCTATAACGAAATTATAATTTTTATAAAATAATTAAAGTATTAAAAAAATATATAAATAATATATTTAATGGAATTTGATATTTCAGAAAAAAACAGTAGGAATTTCTTAAATATTATACATCGATATACACATCATTAAAGTGCAAACTTGATTTTGATTACAAAAATGTAGTTATATAATAACTAGTTGATAACCCATCAAGAATGACGAGAATAAAAAAATCATGAACTATTACAGGAAATTTTTTTTTATTAAATAAAGGAGAACATTCAGTGAATTTTCTAAAATTTGGAGGTAAATTCCATTAAATAAGGAGATTGAAAGTATATCTAAATTGTAATAAGTATTTATTACTTGTTAAATATAAATTGGAATTAAAAATGGAATTCAATAAAATATCTTTAAATTGAGGGCTTAGTTAGTTTGTAAATATTTATATTTTCCATGATAATAAATAAATAAAGATTGCTTGGTTTGAATATGAATTATACTAAAAATATTTATAATTCCATGATAATCTATATATATAATCACCGTATTAATTGTAATAAATACTTAAGAGTGACTTAATAACTCAATAAGATCTAAATCTATTATGGAGGAAAATTCCTTCTGAAATATGGAGGAAAATTCGATTAAATAAATTTGACTTAAATGCTAAAATATAAAATTTTAAAAATAATTCACCCATCCTACTGTTTTTTTCTAAAATATGAAGGCAAATTCCATTAAATAAATTTGACTTACTACTTTATTATTAACACTCACAAATCATAATTAGTTTAATTTAACTTATAAACATTAATTGATTTTAAATTTAATAATATTCATTCTTACCATATTATTAGATTTTTAACTTGTTCAAATTCAAATATTTCATTCATCCTACTCTGTTTTTTTTTCTGAAATATGGAGGAAAATTCTATTAAATAAATTTGACTTAAATGCTAAAATAATATTAAATTTTTTTAATACAATAATTTTACTCAACAGAGTAAGAAATAATTTATAATTTGATTAAAAATTGGTAAATTAAAAAAGGTTGTGATCTTCTTAAAAATCGTTAATGAAAACGTTTATTTCTTGATTACGGTGATTATACATTTCATTCTTTAAAAAAACTTAGAGCTTTGCTACCGAAGGTGGTAAGAGTAGAGCAGGCGATAGGTATGAATAAGAAAGAGGGGTCTATGGAACTATATTTGATAGTTTTACGAGTTTCTGCTAGAGCGAGGGCATCGACGTTGTGGTTGGATGGTGCATTTGGGTCTATGCAGGTGAAGTCCCAGACTAGTAGCTGGCCCCTTGACCAAGGAATCAAGGACATTCCATCAGGACGTTTTCCGTCGGATCTAAAAATGCCGGTCGGTTCAAGTCTTGATGAAATGCCTGCGGATTTGAGAGCGCGCAATATGATGTCATTGCAATTGGTGTGCCGTGGAAAACGGCCTCGGCAAAAGCGGCAATGGAGGCAATGTCTGCCCTTGCGATCGACGCTGGTTTCGCAGTGTTTGCATTGGTATGGTAGAACAACGGCATTTTTAGATCCGACGGAAAACGTCCTGATGGAATGTCCTTGATTCCTTGGTCAAGGGGCCAGCTACTAGTCTGGGACTTCACCTGCATAGACCCAAATGCACCATCCAACCACAACGTCGATGCCCTCGCTCTAGCAGAAACTCGTAAAACTATCAAATATAGTTCCATAGACCCCTCTTTCTTATTCATACATCGCCTGCTCTACTCTTACCACCTTCGGTAGCAAAGCTCTAAGTTTTTTTAAAGAATTGGGCAAACGGATTCGGGAAAAAACCGATCAGCCTAAAGAGTCCCTTTTCTTACGACAAAGACTTGCTACCGCCATCATTCGCTCTAACTACCTAAGTTTCATCTCTTCCATTGAATAATCTCCTATGTCTAAGTTCTCTCTCTCCCTTCTCTTTCCTAGTTTCCATTCTTTTATCCCTTACCCTCTTTCGCACATTATATTTTTATATTTTTTTTACCTTTATTAATTTTACCATATAAAAAAAATTTATTATTTTCTTATAATATTTACCGATGATATTTTGATTATACATTTCTCAAATATGCTTAAAACTATACTTAATGCATAAACAAGTAATTAAAATTAAATTACTATATTTAATGAAAAAAAAGAATAAAAGTCGATAATTATATTTTCATTAATCAATTTAATAGACAAACTAAATCTTTTAATAAAATTAAATTAAAAATTATTAAAAATAAATAAAAATATATAATTCGTTATATTTTAATCCGCTAGAGGGCGCATTATTATTTAAAATAATTTTTTATTTGCTCTTTATATATTTTAAAAAAAATTATGTTAATAATATTATTATTGTTGTAAATATATTTATTTATTAATCATAATTAATATTATTTTTTTTTGTGTGAGTCATGAAATATGTTTTTTGGAGTTTTGTTTTTAATATTTTTTTTTTTAAGTTTCGCGAACTCATCGTGACCATTATTATAAATATTTTTAATATTTATTATAAAAAAAAATAATAATCAGATATAAAAACCTGAAAAAGGTTAAAAAATTGTCATTATTATAATTATATATTTTTTAGAAAATTTCCTTTGAAACAAGAAAATAAAGACGTTATATTGTAAAATCATTTGTTTTGAAAAGGTAAAAAAAAAATTAAAGACTTTGTATTTTAAAATAATAAGAACTACCAAGTTGAAAGTTTCTAGCCATTAGAACTTTGAAATTGGGGGCGTGTTGTAAATATTTTTATTTATTAATCATAATTAATATTATTTTTTTTTGTGTGAGTCATGAAATATTTTTTTTGGAGTTTTGTTTTTAATATTTTTTTTTAAAGTTTCGCGAACTCATCGTGACCATTATTATAAATATTTTTAATATTTATTAAATGTTGTAAATATTTTTATTTATTTATTAATAAACATTAAATAAAAACCTTTGAACACAAAAAAAAAAGTTGTTTTACAACGAAAAAGGGGGGGGGGGGATCCTAAATAAAAATAAAAAGTAATCATCTATTATTCTACACATGTTCACATAAATAAAAAAAATACTATGATGTTAAATATTTTAAAAGTTTTATTCCATATATTAATATCGAATTTTAATTATTCTCGAAATTCTATTAAGGAAAATGATAAAAAAAAATTTTTTATTATAAAAAAAAAATTTAATATTTATTTGGGTCCCATCACATCCTCCAACAACTCTTGAATCTCAGATGGTGACAAATCGACCATAGGCCACTCCTCAGCGTAATAGGCCCTGGGACTCGCCTCCGCCGTTTCTTCTCGTAACGGCTATAATCGCCACCGGTCGCCCCGTCGCAGTTATGGATTGATCCTGTTGTGGTATTACCCCTATCGTTAAAGGCGGTAAAATGGTCCTAACTGGCCGGGCGTCGCTCCTTCCCGGGCTTCGGCTTCTGAGGCGCGTCGTTTCCCTATTATCATTCGAGTTTTGTCTACGATTTGGCCCACGGGGGCACCGCATCTGCAAATGATTAGGCGAACCACATAAGAAACAAGAGCGTCTCCTCCTCGGGCGCGTGCTGAGGTGCCGGGGCTCCGGTAACTCGGAGTGATCTCGATTATTCGTTATTATCCCGGATACTCCCCTTTGGACCGGGGGAGATCTAGCTACTCTGTTCCGGCGTATTGGAGGCGATCGGTCTACTATGTTTCGGCAAATCGAAGGCGAGATTGGGCGCCCATCCTCATTAACATATCCTCGGAAAATACTTATTCTAATGGTTAAATTCTCCCAATAGATACAACGGTGGCGATTATAGAGCCGTTACGAGAAGAAACGGCGAAGGCGAGTCCCAGGGCCTATTACGCTGAGGAGTGGCCTACGGTCGATTTGTCACCATCTGACCCCGTGGCCTCGCCGGGCCAATCTTTTTATTGTTTATATATATATCCTTTATAATCAATATGTAATATATATATGTATAAGTATTGATAATTAATATAGTAATTATTGCGCATTGATACAAAATGGTGATGTTACAATGGTGGACATATTAAATACAAATTTGTTATGACCCTGGAAAATTTCTGGGATAGAACGGCGTATTGATCGTAGAATAATAAATTAGCAATAATAATTTATATTCCCGATCGTCGTATATATATATGCGTGGGACTTTATTTCTGGCCGCGTATTCCAGATTTTTCCAGGGGAGAAAGGAAGTATATATTAGAACATGAGATTCAAGAGTTGTTGAAGGATGTGATGGGACCCGAATAAATATTACAATTTTTTTTTTATAATAAAACAATTATTTTTTTATCATTTTCCTTAATAGAATTTCGAGAATAATTAAAATTCGATATTAATATATGGAATAAAACTTTTAAAATATTTAACATCATAGTATTTTTTTATTTATGTGAACATGTGTAGAATAATAGATGATTACTTTTTATTTTTATTTACAAACCCCCCCCCCCTTTTTTCGTCTTTGTAAAACAACTTTTTTTTGTGTTCAAAGGTTTTTATTTAATGTGTTGTAAATATTTTTATTTATTAATCATAATTAATATAATTTTTTTTTGTGTGAGTCATGATATTTTTTTTTTGAGTTTTGTTTTTAATATTTTTTTTAAAAGTTTCGCGAACTCATCGTGACCATTATTATAAATATTTTCAATATTTATTATAAAAAAAAAATAATAATCAGATATAAAAACCTGAAAAAGGTTAAAAAATTGTCATTATTATAATTATATATTTTTTAGAAAAATTTCCTTTGAAACAAGAAAATAAAGATGTTATATTGTAAAATCATTTGTTTTGAAAAGGTAAAAAAAAAATAAAGACTTTGTATTTTAAAATAATAAGAACTACCAAGTTGAAAGTTTCTAGCCATTAGAACTTTGAAAATTATTACTTAAAAAGTAAACTTTATTCCATTTATTATTATCAATAAAACTTATGATTGAAACTAAAAACTGTTTAAATTGTTATATATTTGAATAACGGTAAATTGCAAATGGTTTCGTTTAAGTTTTAATTTTTTCAATATCAAGGTTTAATGCATCCTAAAAAAGAATTTCTAGGTAATAGTATTATGAATAGGATCATTTGATGACACACAAATCGTTTAGTGATTTGGAGTCAAAAATGTACACAAAATTGGAATAAAAAATAATTATTTTATAGTAACCCTCAATCGAGCCCACGTTAATATTTGGACAATTTGTGTAATTAGGTCCAGGCTTGTAAATAACAAAGTCATTATATATATTTTTTTAAACTATTATCGGGTTGGGGTTATATATTTTTTATATTACATTATATTACTTATTAAATTTTTCTTTGGATTATAATATAATATAAATAAATCGTTGTTTAGTAAATTTCTATATCGACGGTCTAGAATTGGAGTGCTCCAATTACGCAAATGTTTAAAATGAGAAAATCAACATCAAAATTTAAAATAAAATATAAGAAAAAAAAGTTATTGATAAAATTTTGACAATAACTTTAGCAAAAAATTAATATTTTTTAATCTATTAATTAATAAATCTCATAATATCCCCGGTCATTGATAAACATGAATGATGGGCAAAACCTGGACAAAACTTGATTGGGTACTTCGGTAATGCGTGAGGGGATAGATCGTCCTGTTAGAAAACGCGAGACTTCATCGGTAAAAGTATTACAATTGTGGTGGAATAAATCGTATTCGTCTCCTCTGTGTAATTAAATTTTTGTTTTAAAAAAAAACGCCGATTAAAACTGGCGTTTTATTTATGAATGGCCAGCCATTTGTTTTATATATGGGAGTTAATTTATAGCATAATATAAAGTTAATGGAATTATGAACAAAGGAAGGATAAATGCCGATGTAAAGAACTAGTATTAGGATACATCTCTCACCCTTTAAGGTTAGGAGTACTCTATGTTCTGAGTGGAGACAGCTGTTTTATTGATATACGATGTTAATTATTAAAATAGGAGATTTATTATATATTCCCCCCCCCCTCCTCCCATTAGAAAATTCTTCAATATAATATCGATGGATGATATTAAATATTTCCCACATTATTTTTTATATGTTTAAAAAAAATATAAATTTAATTCTAAAATGTAAGAGAATCTAAATTAGGGAGTCTAACTCAGACTTTTAGGCAATTTTTTTTAATCTGCTCACGAATGAGTTAGGGTTATAATATTAACTATGGCATTGCTTTAATGAGAAGTTCAAAAAGATATAAATTTTAAAAAAAAACAATAATTGATTGAAGTGATTGCGCTCACTTCTTTTCTTTCATTCTTAGGCCCCGACCCGATTATCATTTTTTTTAGCCTGATTGAATATTACAATTAGTGATCTGCATCGGGCCTCATTTTTCAAACCCGGCAAGAAATCCGTTCGGACCGAGCCGGGTTCGGGCTGGGCTTACTTTTGCAGATCTCAAATTACAATTGTAGAATGAACTTTAAAAGCGAGAGAAAAGCGCCTTTTACTTATCAAGATAAAACGAGCTGAATATTCTTAAATTCAAAAATGCATAACATCTAAAAATAAGAGAATAAAATCTCATATTTTTGGAATTTGAGATTTCCTCAAAAATAGAATCGAGGGGTGAGTTCGGAAGGTTTCTAATTACTCTTCTTTAATACTTTTTCCCTAAATTTTCTTGCCCTTTTCTTTTTCTTTTTAGATTATTTTTCAAATTTCGGATCATTTGAAATAATTTCGGCTTTCGTTTTAGCTAATTGTTTCGAAAAAAAATTGAAAAATATTAGGCAGTGAATGAACGAATTATTGAACACTGCATCATTGCATTTCGTGTCAAGCGAAGCAATAAAATTGAACTCTTCGGTGTTTTAAATTTCTATAAAAATTCGTAAGGCTCTTCATAAATGTTTCATATAATTATATTTTTTTTAAGGTAAGAAAATCGACATTTTCACCCTTTTTTTGCTACTTAAAAAAAAACAAAAAAATTAGTTACCAATTAAAATCTTAAAGATCTTACAAATAGCAAAAAAATTTTAAAGCCCGACCCGGGAATGAATTTCATTTTTATAAGGCCCGGTTTCCGCGCGATTTAAAATGTTTTTCAAAATAAATAACTATCCGGTTAGAGCCGGATAAAATGACCGGGTTTTGTAGGCCTCTAATTCGAATATTAAATTTTATTATTTATAACTAAGTCAAATGATTATTAAATAATTAGGAAGGGGAGGGAGTGGGAACAGAAAAAACGAATTTACTGTTATATGGTAATCTTAATGTCCAGTTGAATATTTATAAAAATGAAAAATTTTTTAAAAAGACTTTGAGCTTACAATATTTTCCCTACATAAATAAACCTACTTTATTCGATCAATATTTTGGATGATTTATATAAGAATTTTACGATTTCTCGGATATGTGATAAGGATGTGATTTTATAATTTTAAGTTAACACATTTTTTAAACATTTAAAACACAAAAATTTAATTTATCTTTTTTTATTATAACATATAAATTTCAAAAACTATCATATAACAAAAAAACATAACAATACATACAAAAAAATTATAATATATCAATATCCTACAGATATGTCTTTCAAATATAATTTATTTACATTTTATCGTTATAAATCATTTTTAACTTTTTACCTTTAAATTGATTTGTACTTTTACATTTAAATCGATTTTAACTTTTACATAAAATATTTCATTATCACCTCGATCGATTTTATTTAAATTATTTCCACAATATAACATTTCCTTCTCTTTTAGTATCCCCCTTCATCGTACCCATCATTCGTATCGTATATTGAGGTAATCCCTAAGTTCTTTATTTATTCCAAGTCCATGTACCTTTTCGTTCTAACATCAAATTTAACTAAAAAAATTATATTTTATTTTATATAGTTTATTTATAATCAATGAATTTCTTCGGTCTCAAATTGTATTGTCGACTTGGCTCTTGAATACTTATTTGATTTCGATCTCGTATCTGGCTTTGAACTTGAACTTGTTCTTTCTTTTTATCTTGATTTTGCTCCTGACCTCTTCCCCCTCTAAATACTCGTTCACTCGTCGTATAATCATTACTTGTCGATCTTATTTTTATTTGATCCAAATGTCTTCTTATTATATTATGTCCAGTATCTATTTTGTATGATAAATTTCCATCTTTATGTATTACTAGTCCTTTATCCCACATGTTTTCCTTGAACGTTTTATACCAAATTTTATCTCCTACGTTGATATTTCTCGTTACTGTTATTTTGCGATTTAATACGTTATCTTTTTCCTCCATAGGTAAATCCCATTTTGTCCTTATACTTCTTGAAAACATTAATTTGCTTGGTATCATATTTGTCGTCGCATTTGGAGTATTTCGATAATTAAACAAAAAATTTTCTAAAGCTATGTCGGCGTTAACTTTTGTGTTATTCTCCATATTTCTCTTCAAGCTCATTTTCATTGATTTAATCATACATTCGCATTGACCATTGGATTGTTGATGATGTGGAGCAGTCAAAATATGTTTTATTCCATGATCCTCACAAAATTTTTTAAATAGGTGACTAGTGAAATTGGTGCCATTATCCGTCACGATGTTATACGGTATTCCAAATAGACTTATTATTCTCATCAGTTCTTTCACAGTAGATTCTGTTGTAATATTTTTCATTCTCTTTATTATTGGAAATTTGCTATACGCATCCACAAATACCATGTAATCATTATCTCTGAACTGTGCAAAGTCAATATGTACTCGTTCAAAAATTTTAGTCGCGATTCTCCATGGATTTTGTATATTGTGTGGATTGTCTGCCCATTTGTTACATTCTTCACACTCTTTTACCTCTTGAACTACATCTGCATTTATACCAGGCCACCATAAATAATCTTTCGCCAATAATTTTATCTTGCCTGCGCCTAAATGTCCTTTGTGTAAATCTTTTAACATCTCATTTCTCATTTTCCTCGGTATTATGATTCGGTTTTCTTTAAAAAGGCAATTCTTTACCAAACTCAACTCCATTTCCATATTCTTGTATGTTTTGTTTTTTATGTCTTCACCATGTTTGATGTTATTTATTACTTCCATTAATTCATCCTCATCGTTTGTTTCTTTCACTATTCTTTGAAAGTTAATTGGTATGTCCCATAAATCACTAGTAATCTCATTATTTTCTATATTTTGTATACCCTCTTCAGTATTTCTTTGTGGTAATCTTGATAAACAGTCTGGTATTGTATTGCGATTACCAGCTCTGTGAACTATCGTGAAATCGTAAGCTCCCATAGCCAAATTCCACTTTTGCAATCTCATCGATATTGACGTGTTATCTTTTAATCCTTTTGTAAATATGTAAACGAGTGGCTTGTGGTCGGTTATAATGACGAATTTGGAGCCTATGAGGTACTCCTGAAACTTCTTCACTGCATATACTATTGCTAAAGCCTCTCTCTCGATATTTGTATAGTTAATTTCTGCTTTCAATAAAGTTCTCGATGCGTATGCTATAGGCATCTCCTTGCCATTTCCTTCTATATGAAATAATACAGCACCTAAACCTTTTTTTGAAGCATCCGTCGCGATACCTATCGGCAAATCTGGATTGCAATAATTTAACGATGGTGGTGTACTAATTAGATTCTTCAAATCATCATAACATCTTTGATGTACGTCATTCCACAAAAAATTTTCTTTATTTACTATCTTGTATAATGGATCCGCTAAATCCGCAAAATTACATAAAAATTTTTGGTAATAACTAGCCATGCCCAAAAACGTTGCTAGTTCTTCTTTAGTTGTTGGTACTAGCATGTCCGTAATGGCCTTTATCTTTTTTCCATTCGGATGAATCCCCTTATCATCAATGTCGTGTCCTAGAAATCGTATTTCTTTCTTGAAAAATATACTCTTCGTAAAATTAGGTATTAGTCCATATTTTGAGATTCTGTCAAAAACCAATTTTATGTTTTTCATGTGTTTTTCGTCATCATCACCAGTAATTAATAAGTCATAAATGTAGAAAATAACGTCTTTTAAATCACCAAAAATTTTATCCATAGTCTGCTGAAAGATAGCTGATGATGTCTTTAAACCAAAAGGAAGTCTGGTGAATCTGAAGTAGCCTCTATGCGTGGATATGGTGAGAAGATTTCTTGATTCTTTATGAATTGGTATTTGAAGGAAAGCATTCTTAAAATCTATTTTTGTAAACTTCTTGCCTTTTGACAGCTTTGATATAAGGTCATTGATTCTTGGAATTGGGTATTTGAAGTCTACCAGTGCAGGATTGATTGTGCTCTTGAAGTCTAAGCAAAGCCTCAATGTACCATCGCTCTTATAAACAGGTGTGAGCAAACTCGCCCAACGTACGTTGTCCACTGGCTCGATTATCTTGTCATCGATCCACTTCTGCAACTCCTTTGTTAACAAATCATGTCGTTTATATGGCACTCGTCTTGGCGGTATTATTTTGGTATAGCGTCCTGTTTAAGATAAAGTTTAACATAACTGCGATTTATAGGCTTTTTGTCAACTTTGGTTTTACATTCGTTTATCATCTTTTGTATTGCATCAACATAATTTTCTTCGACATGGTTTACAAATTGATCTAATATGTTGCCAAACACTTTTAACCATGTCCTACCCAACAGCGGTATTTTATTGCTCTGCACTACGTGTATGTTCAAGGTCTCTGTCTTGTTCCCATATTTTGCCTTGATGTCAACGGTGCCCAACACCTTTATAATTCTCCCATCGTAGCCCGTAGGTTTTGTTTCTGATTTCTTTAATGTTTTAATACCAATTTTTCTTGCAACACTTATTGGTAGTATTGTGAATCTTGACCCCATGTCTATCTGTAATTCAATTGGCACATCATTAAGGTGCATCGTGATTTTATATGCGTCATACGCTTTGTTATTATCATCATCAAGATTATTTATATCCACATTAAAAAGACTATATTCTTCTTTTTCAATTTTATCACAATTTACATCCTTTATTTCCTTTATTTCTTCTATATTGACCGTATTTACTTTATTTGAGTATCACCGTTGATTATTGTCATTATTTCGGTATCTGTTATTATTATACGTAGTTTTGGTTGCAATTCTGATTGTAGTTACGATTATAACTTTGATCGTAATTCTGATTATATCTTGGTCTGTATCTTGAATCATTATTATTTCTATCATTGTATCTGTCATAATTACGCCTATCGTTATAATTATCATTATTGAATCTCGATCTTGGCGCTCTGTCATTATATTAATATCTATGATTAAAGTTATTTTGATACCGCAGATTGAAATTGTTACGATAACGTGAATCATAATTGTTTCCTTGAAACTGCCAATTATCGCATCTAGGTGTCCACTGCCGTTTAAACCCATTATCATTTGAAGTACATGCCAATCTATTGTTACCATCGTATTTCACCAGTTGATTATTCGAACTTATCCTCTTGACTTCGACCTCATCTATCGCTTTCACCATGGTTCCTGCTTCAATTTTTATATTAACAATTTTACTTAAAATATTGTCACACGCTTCTTTCTCTTCTATATCTGCTGCTGCCTTTAGTATCATATCTATATTTATATTTTCCATTTTAGAAATTCTCTGCCTGATTTTCTTACTTATCGATGAAAGCCTTATTTTTTCTATTGCTCTCTCAAAGTCTTTATACTTACATTTAGTATTTAAACCACATACTCGAGTTACCCAGGCCTGAAATTTTTCACCTGGATTTTGCACCGCCGCCGCAAAATCAACCTTGTAACTGTTCATAGATTTTTCAGGGTGTAGAAGTTTAAACTTCTCAATTAAATTTGTAAGATTAGAAAACTCGGACGATGTACAGATTACCTCTAGATTTAAGTACTCGTCTTCTGGTAATCTGTTTGTGAAAATACTCGCTTTTTCCGCTTCCGTCCATTGGCTAATCGAATCTTTTTAAAAAAAACTCAACGTTCCCTGTAAACGCCGGTACGTCAACTATATAATTTTTTGTATTTACTAACGGTTTCATAATGTATATTATTTATAATGATCGTTTATTTCACATCTTATTTATATCATATATCACACGGGAAAAAAAATATATTTATATACGTATATAAAATTGAATAATACAAGCTAATAAATTTATCTGGTAGCGTTGGTCAAATGATTCAATCTCTTCGATAGCATTGAGCATTAATAAAGAAACTATCCCCATAGGAGTCAGTGAACTCTTGTCCTTGTATGGCCGAAAACGCAGTTTGCATCTCATCTGCATTATCGTAATAGAAGAAATGGACCAATCTTGTTTCGTGTATAAACGGAATGGATTTGTGCGTCGAAGTATTGCGATGTTGCCTGATTTCAAAGCGTGATGGACATCTTATAATCATGATGTATCGAAATCGCTCTGTTATATTGTAACTATAAACTGAGACTATTATAAGAATTGTAAACGTCGGAATACGTTGCCACCATATAAGAATTTTACGATTTCTCGGATATGTGATAAGGATGAGATTTTATAATTTTAAGTTAAATCCATTCCGTTTATACACGAAACAAGATTGGTCCATTTCTTCTATTACGATAATGCAGATGACATGCAAACTGCGTTTTCGGCCATACAAGGACAATAGTTCACTGACTCCTATGGGGATAGTTTCTTTATTAATGCTCAATGCTATCGAAGAGATTGAATCATTTGACCAACTCGAGTGATTTTATTTAAATTATTTCCACAATATAACAATTTACTAGAAATTTCCATTCATACCAGATCTGGACCAAGCCCAGTCGAACCGGTCTGGGATAGCCTGTTAGTGTCTAGGCCCGTAATGAAATATCAGAACTTAGCGAAAATTTTGTCCGGTCCACAATACTGACTTAAAATGTCACATTATCTTTCTCAAATAATATAATTGTTAAAGGGCTAAAATTTATTTAAATTGAAAGAGGTGGGCTATGAGATGTTTGATTTGAAATGCCCAACAATTTTCAACTAAATGATACAATTCAAAAAAGAATTTTTAAGCCTAGCCCAACCCGGCCCGGATATTTAAGCCCGGTCCGAAATTCTAAAATCCGACTTTTTTTAGGAGCCCGGGCCTGCATGTCACTTGGGATATGTTTAAATTGATTGATAAACATTTTGAAACCGGAGCCAGAATTTGATAGCTTAGGAACCGTGTCAAAATTAATTTTGAGACCGTAATCATTACCGGATCTCTTTTTTTAAAAGTTCGGTTTTAAACTCTCGTTAATTTTAATTAATCAAAATATTAAGATGTCCGTTCAGTTTATACTTATAATTTTGTGTCTTCAAAGCGGCCAAGTATTCGCGAAATAAATGTTTGTCAACTTCAGTTATACCTAGGTTAATGATTTCGTCGGGTGGTCCGATAGATGAAAGTCCCTTAAAAATTCGTAAAAAAACAAAATATAATTTCAAATTCTAATAATATAATAAATCGGGAGATATACACGCGAAAGCCCTCAAGGAAAATATTTTTTTTAGGGTTGGGGAAATCGCGCGAAATTTTTCACGGGCCGGACTGGCCGGGGCCAATTCGGTCCGGGATGATATCGAATTAATAAACCAAGGTTTGGGAGGGTTATGGGGTGTTATCGCATTTAGATAAAATTTTGGCGTTGATGTTTTACCAACGTAAGAAAACGCGTCCACACCAAAAAAAAAAGAAAAGGATTGATGCGGCACGACGATAAAAATTTATGCTAAAAATAAGGGAATAATTCGAAACCTTTAAAAAATGAACGACTGGTCAAACTCCGTTGCCTTCAAAACAAAAAAATATATTATATGATCTTATAATTTTGAAGTTTATAAACAATTATAATCATTTGATACTAGACTAGCGTTGTTAAATTGCTTCCATTCGAGCCAATTTTTTAAAAACGGCTAACTCAATATTTTAGCACACAAAAAAAATATTGCTAATGGATGCTCAAACTCTTTGCGTTATCTAAGAGCCAAATCTTAAGGCTTGCATAATATATTTTTTCCGGATAAAATTTTGAGTTAGCCGTTGTTAAGAAAAAATGGGCTCAAAACGAGACGTTTAAGCAATACTAATTTATACAAAGGGAGCCAGCCCGTTTAAAAATTGTATAAAAAGATATTGCAAAAATTAAGAGATGTAATCGTGTGTCAAACGCGGGAAACAGTATCAAAATTATCTTGTTTTTTTTTGCGAGTTTTTAAGAGAAGCTTCTCACCCTCCGCTTTTACCGTGCCAAATTTTTCCGGATTTTTCTAAGCTAAATCCAGAATTAAACCACACAGGATTCGGGGATAGGGTTCGCGATTTTTAAATAATACGTATACTAAATGGATAACGAAAATAATTGTCTGTTCAGTCAAGTTATCCAAAAAAAAATACTTCAAAGGGGCCTTTCGATTAAACCATGATAAAAATGAGCGTACAAAATTATTTTTAGATAAAATTTCGGAGGGACTCGTAGTAAAAAAAAATTCTTTCAAAACTCCATAGGTCATTATAACGATGCTAACGCAGCCAAAGATATTATGCAAGCTTAGAGATTTTGCTCATAGATGGCCGAATGGTTTGGACATCTATTAACGAAATCTCGAAATTTGCGTAATTTTTTGGGGGGCTAAAACGAGCAGTTTAACAAAGGTCGAACAGGGCGGAACCTAAAGTTAACATACATAGCCTATAATTAAATCATTTTAAAGTTTAATCATCAGGGGAGGTTTAATCGCCATTAGTTTCTTTCTTTCTTTCTCTTTCTTTTTTTTAAATAATTTTTAAGCGGCGTCAAGAATAAAAATATTATAATTTTTATAAGTAAGTTTTTCTAATAAATGAAATTTGTTATTGATTGAATTTTGGAAAAAAGAAAAATAAATATATATGTATTATCGTTCTATTCCACAAGAAAAGTAAAACCGTTTCCAAATCTTAGAAGAAAATGTCGATTTTACAAAATAAGTGTCAATTTACTTAACAAAAAATAAGTGTCAATTTACTTTAAAAAAAACAGATTTCAAGTTTCCAGATTTTGAAACCCGTTCAATAAATTATTTACGCGGTTTTGTGTTCTTTATATAATATATCCGGTTTCACTTTGTCCCTTCCTTTTCTACCCCCATTCTTTTAAAAAATATATATTATAAATTTAGTTCCGATTCCACTTTGCCCCTCCCTGCCTTGCCCCGAAATAAGAATGGAAATATAATTTTGATTTTATACTATTTTTAAAATTTAGTTTTAAGGAAGTAAAGATCGTATAACAAACTAATTCTAACTAATAAATAATTATTTTTTTTGTATATGTAAAATATAAACAAAAATCAATTTTGAAAAGCGTATAATTTTTTGAAATAATGAAGAATAGTTTTAAGTTTTACCTAAAAGTCAAAAACTGATATTATTTTAGTAGGCAATCAAAAGAAGGCCTGATATTTGGCTCATAGATGACACAAAGGTTTGGACATCTAGTAGCGAAATCTCAAGACATAGCCAATATTTTTCCGGCTAAATTATGGATGGAGTTAGCCGTTTAGCAACACTAATTTTGGGGAGTAAAAAATAAAATCAAAATTATTTTTCTTTTCTTTCCTTACCTTTCCTTTCAATTTTTAATCACTAACAAAAAAATTTAAATATTTTACTTTTCCTTTTGGATTTTAGAGAATAAAAATGGAATTTTCTCCGCCGAAAGATTTTTAAAAAATTGTCAAATTTTTTTTTTGAATGAATCTTCTAAAAAAAAATAAATATTTATTATAGGATAATTATATTGTTTAATTTCATTTTATTTTAATACATCTGTTTGGTTGGTATTTAGATTAAAAAAATATACAATAATTTGATAAAAAATATGTAAAAATAAATCAAATAAATAAGTGATTTTCTTTTCTCGATAAATATTTTTTATTTTTTTAATGAAGAATGAAATAGAATAAAATTATATTTTTGAGAAAATAGTAATTGCTAATAAAAATCAATTTCCGAATCGAATATTATTAGGTTAGAATTTTCAATTTTTTTACTAAATAAGATATATAATATAACACAAAGAAAACATACACAACACACACAACTGTCTTTGCGATAAGAATGAATCTTAATTCTTTAAAAAAAATGAAAGTATTTATAAATATTGATTGGAATTTAATCATCGATTTTGATTTCCCACTAAAATAAAATACGAATTTAATAAAATGGGAAGATCCACGAGGTAAATTAAATATTAAGAGGAGTGACGTAATATAATCCTCAAATTACTACAGTGAGGAAGTGATACACCACCATAAGATGATATATATACGCCTATGTCATTTTGATGCACTCTCCTCCTTGTTTACCTTTTATTAGGGTTGGAGACAAAGCACATGAGTACAACCTGTATATGTTATTACAATCTCAAGGTAAACAAAGAGGAGAGTACATCAAAGTCTACTAAAACAGCTGTCTCCATTCTTAGAAGAACTAAAAGTACCCCTAATCCTAAAGGGTGGGTAAGCCTCCTTATTTTTTTTTTTTTAAAAAAAAGGAATTTCCTAGTGGAATCCATTATAAAAAATAAACGTGTCAAATTCAAATTACGAATACTGACAACTGAGAAATCATACTGAGACCCGATCAAGATTTTAGCCAAAAAGGTCTCCAAAACCTTTCTATAATATATGAGCAAAATCTCCAAGCTTAAGTAATTTTGGCTAAAATTTTAGTTATTAAGTGATTTAAGAGATGAACGCAGATAAATTAAGCTAAATAATTTTTAAAATATAAATTCTATTTTAGCCATCTTCCGCTATTTAATTACAGTGGTGTTTAAATGGCTGGATTTGAATCGATTTTTTAAAAAAACGGCTAACTCAAATATTTTATATGGGAAAAAAATATTACGCAATGCTCATAGATGGATGGGCACAAAGGTTTTTGAACATCTATTAGGGAAAATCTCGACGTTTTAAGCAATTTTTTTTTCTGGCTAAAAATTCATTTCGGCTCAAATCGACCCGTTTCAATAACATTATTAAAATATGCTTAGATTAAATGATATTTTTTTTATTTAATTCGAAAAACTTGTATAATCATTTTTATATTTATTAAATAATATGGTTATCATTTTTATTAGGTATACTATAAACATTCATCTTATTATGCAATATAATTAGAATCTAACCCATATGAAATATTTCCCGGGGAAATTATCAAACTCCCCCCACCCTATTGTATTCTACAAATATCATATTTTTCAGGAATTTTAATCATATTTTACTAAAAATATCTTTTTTTTTCCTCGTGGTATTAAATTCATAATTATATTTTGTATTTTGTGTATGTAAAACGATTATTCTCACTCATATTCTAGTTTCTAGAACAATAAACGATCTCGTGTAATGTTCACCCGAAGGAAATATTTCTAATTTATTTGGTGGTTAATCAAAAGTTTGATATGGATTAAATAGAATTAATTCCTTTTTTATCATAACAAACTTATTTTTTAGTATAGAATATATCAAGCTGAATCAATTAATCCCCCCCCCCTCCAAAAAAAATACAAAGCAAACAAAACAATTTAATGAAATATATTGGCAGTGTGTCATCTGCAAAGTAAATTAATTATTGAATTTGATAAGAGTCTTGGTTTTGAATGGTCAATTCTTTTAACTCAATATGCGTATTGGAAGAAATTATTTCAATCTCTTAAAACCTTAATAAAAATTTGTTAAACAGGTGAATATTGAAAGGATTTTAAAAATACAGTAACCAAATTAGAATTTGACCCTCATCATTAGTGACGGGTGGACAAATATAAGGTGGGAATGCATTATAAATTTTATGATAGCAACCAAATATTCTATAAATCAATTGAAACAGGGACCAATATACTTGCGAAGGAATATATGTCAAACGAATTTACTAAATTGAAGAAAAGTATGAGTATTTGTAAAAAAATAAATATCAAACTATTGCATACACTGAGGTGTGTAGCTCACTGACTTAATTTGCTTTAAAAGAACATGGCAAATAAAATATTTTGCCAATTCAAATTTTTTTAGAAAGCCCAAAAGTACATTCTTTTATCAACATATAAGGAAACAACAACTCAGATTGAAGTTGTCTAGGCCAACTCGTTTGGACAGAAATAGTATAGATGATAAATAGCCTGTTAATATAGCAATACTTGATATTTTTATTTTGCAGATAGATAGAGATAAAAGACTAACTCTTTTTGATAATGAAGGTTTATTAAAACATCTTCCATAGCTATAATTTTATAATTTAAAAAAAAAGAAGCTATTTGTAACACAAATAGACAGCGGAAGCGGAAAAATGACACGCTTCCTCGGACATTTATTCATATCAGAGAAATATTTAGCAATTCTAAAGCAATATCAAATCTCTCGCAGAAGGGGAT